CAGGGGTCGGCAACCTGCGGCTCGCGAGCCACATGCGGCTCTTTGAATGTGAAGCTGCGGCTCTTTAGTTCCATACGCAAATATTATTTATTTTATAAAAAAAAAAAAAAAAACATTTAAAAATCGTTCTGAATCAATTAACGAGGATTAGGCACTGATTCTATCTCTCAGCCACTTGTACTCGCTTTTCACCGCACCCCTCCCCCGTGACACGCATCGTCACTGTCGTCAGTCAGTCAGAAGCTCTCAAATGACGCCGTCATCGGATGTTTCTATGAGGTTTAATTCGCTTTCGACGCAAGACAATTTTTCTTATGAATAAATAGATTAGTTTCTTTTTATCAAAAAACTTTATTTATGCAAGTACTATTTATTGTTGGCAAGAAAAAAATTTTGTGGCTCTTTAAAAACTGAAATTTTGTAAATTGTAATTTTTGGCTCTTCCGACTCAAAAGGTTGCCGACCCCTGCTCTAGACGAGTAATTCCTATTGAAGCACTGAAGCTTCTTTCATACTTTATTTTCAGGTCTTCCTTTGAATGTAATTTTGTTACATTTTCATTGTTTTCATTAAGCAAATGCTGTAAAGAGTAGAAGTCTGTTTATGTTTATGTTTTAAGCATTATTTTTGTTATTATTTTGTTTTTTGGGGGACATTTTATTACATTTTTAAGGATGGAAAACTCCCAAAAACCGTAACAATACTATTAATTCAAAATTAAAACATTCACTTGAATACGTGATTGATCCCATAACACTCAAATATGTAAATAGGATTGTATGCCAGAAAAAAGACAACACAACAGTTCAACAGAGAGGTGTATAGCTCCTGAAAGTGATCTTGAGGGTGTGAAAGCTAACTACTTTGGACCAAACTGTCTGGCATTATTTTTGGTAAATTGCTTAACTCATAAGAGGTGTATTCTTTGTTTTTGAATTTAGTGATACTGGTGGAGAATTAATTAACTGTATGTCCAGAGTTGGGAAAAAGAATTTCTCTTTATTGATTGCTTTTTTATTTTGCTTGTTTGAATATTTGAAATATATATTTATTACTAACTTCTTATATATATATAAACAACAAGAATAATTATAAACATTATAGTTCAACTTAATAAATATTGTCATAAATTTTTGCTTATATAAGTGTCATTTTGATTTTTTTGTAATTCTTTGTCTTCCATTAAGTCACAGGAATTACTCACCACAACCCAAGTCCGTGCTTGGTACTTGATAGAATCCCAATTTTGTGTAACACAACTTTTTTCAGACATAGTTTTGATCGCATGAGATGTTACAATACTAACTGACAGTTTTTTCAAAATAGCTGAAATTACTAAGTAATAACTCATAATATTAATGCATTTGTAAACAAACAGGTGTAACTGTGTAAGATAATTTTATTCAAGAATTACAAAAAACATGAATTCAAAAACGTTCGGATAATTTGAAAATGTGTTGTTTTGGTCCTTGAGTTTTGAAATAATGAGGGTTTTACTGTAATATTTTGGACAATTGTAAATTTATCTGTTATAAATGACAACAGAATCATTTGATAGTATTTATAATCAATAAATATCTAAATAAACTTACTGTTCAAAATATTTAGTAGAATTATTATATTTGAAATACATGTCAAAAACAATCCAAGTTCTTCTCATTATAAAAACAAAATCAAAAGACTGCTTTAATGGAGTCTAAAAAATGAAAAAAAATTTTCATATTAGTATACACCAGTGTATATAATAGCTTCATTACTTTAAAGTACTAACTTTAGAATAATGAAGCCATCATTGGATATCTTACAAATATGGTGACAGAAATTTTGGTATTTCAGAATTTCTGTATTATCGTGAAGTAAGCATGCCAAGATTATGAGAGAGAGACTGGCAAAGTGGCATTGCAACACTCAATTCAGATTAATCTGATACAATTTACATTTTCATTGGATTACTAAAAGCTATATTGTTGATATTTTTGTATTTATATTCTTTCTACAAATTATTTTGCACTTCATACTTTGTATAATTGTTCTTTCTCTCAGAATGGAAGCTAATCTCTTGTATTTTCTTAGTTTTTTCATAAACATATTAATTTCTTATATTTCTAATTTGTTTATCTTATAATTAAATCTCCTGCAAAACTGTTTATTAGTTTCACTGCAAATCTTATCAATGAATTATGCAATTATGTATGATATATGCTTCAGCAATCCACACTCCAAGATCTGAGTTAAAATCCAGAAGTGTTGCTCATCAATGGAAGCAAGTAAAAACAGATGTTTAGTCAGATGCAAACCAAGCAATATCAAAGCAAACTGATCGGAGGTGATGTCAAACAAAATTTGTTCAACTGTCATAGAGTCGACCATCAATTGCCCAATCAATGACTATGACTCTATGTCCCTTTGACAAAAACTAGATGGTCTCTTTAATGACTCTTAGATGCAAGAAGCTAGATTTTTCAGGCAATCATCAGAGATGCTCTTGTGCAGTGAAATATTTATGGCACAAGAAATTCTCTACAGCAGTGAAATATTTATTTTGGCTATAAGCTGCAATTTTGATTTGGAAAGTTTCTTGACTAATTATCATACATATGAGGTCATTATACCAAAATAATTTAAATGATTGAAACTATAAAACACATATATTGCTTATTAATTTATTGCCAATAAAAAACACAAAAGAGGCTGTACACAAAGCTCTAAACAACTCAATTTTCATCATTTTGTAAACAAACTACCAAGCAATAGTTCATAAAGGGATAGATAAAATGTTCATTGGTTCTTTAGAACTAAGTGATACTTTAGGTTTCATCGATAATCTATCCAAAAACAGTTGGCGAAATCTGAAACTGACAAAAAACCGAGGCAATTATTTCCATATGAATCAATGTAAATCCAATTAATTCATTCTAGACACTCCAAAATACATACCAAAAACACATTTTACAGAGAATAAATATAGTGTTTAATAACAAAGATAATAAGAAATTAATATAAAATGAATATAAAAGACTAATGTAAAGAATAAATGAGCGTTCAACATGGAATTTCCCAAGATAGAGCTAAAAGGAAAGGAAAGCAATGGAATTGGGCGTATTCAAAATCTCAGTATCAATCCAGCAAGATACTGCCAGAAGTGATGCAACTGCTGGCGTTTTCTATAGAACAGAAACGCTGACTGCCTGAAATTTCAGGAGAAAAAAACAATAAAACTGGAAAATGATGTGGGCTTCCACATTACATTAAATTTATTTTTGAACTTATTTAAATAGAACAAAAGCAGAAAAATAAAAATTTTGAAAAGAGAACTAGAGATAAAGACTTTTTAAATTTCCATAGGAGTTTTAAATAATTAAATCAATCCTAAGCTTACACTTTAACAACTAAAAAAATTATGTGATGTCTTAGGTTAATATATTAGTATATTAAAATATTCTATTAATTAATGTATTAACCGTATATTAATTTATTCAGAGTTTATTCATCAACAAATAAATTCAATTCAAAATTGTCAACCCAAAATAGAGCTCTTATGAGCCTCATGGAGGTTGCCATCTTATTTGCTGGTGTATCGAGCACCAAAAAAGACACTTGCAGCAATCAGAAGTCATCTGAGATTTTGAACAGAGGTGCTGAGAAGTGCTGGCTGCATGATGAGATTTTGAATATGCCCATTGTTTGGCTAGACACGTGGGAAATGCTCACACAACAAGAAACAATGCCACACTGAGCAGGAAAAAATGTGGTTTTGCAAAATTAGCAGTGAGGTCATGTGGGCACGCCAATGAAATCCGAGGCAACCAATGAAAACAGAGAAATTTTGCAAAAAAAACATGGACGAAAACCAAAACCAATGATAACCGAGGTATCACTGTACATCATGAGTGATTCACAAGAGTCAACATCACCAGATTGTCAAAAGAAAAGTTATATGGCCATAAAAATTGCCTCTGACATCACACTGAAAGCAACCACATTGACTAGTTTGCACTGGGCTTTATACTGTGCATAATACAGGCCATATAATTCATCTTCTGATAATAGAAATCCAAAATTAATTCAAAACTGTACAGACTAATCATGAAAATTATCTTGATTATCAATCCATGACCCTACAAAATGGCATCATACAATGTGTATATATTCTATGTAATCCAATTTGGTAGATTTATAGATAAATAATCAAAGTTAACAGTTATATTAACTACAAAAACAAGTTTTACAAAGAAACGTACTTGCTTATCTATGATCAAAACTGTATAAAGTTAAAAGTTTTTCAAATCTATTCATATGACTATTTATCCAATGATAAGTAATGATAAGTGCAATGCTTAATTTCCCTTGTGATTATAGAAGATAAAAGATCAATAAATTAAATTAACATTCTAATTCTTTATTGTAGAGTTTTGTTTTGAAAAGAAAAAAATAACAAAATAAACAAAATAAACTAATAAAATAATGCTTATTGATAAGATTCGATAATGTTCGTATAATTAGATATTTATATAAAGACACTGGTGCAATTACAGCTGTGTTTCAGCAAAGAATTTTATTGTTTCAAGACCAATTTTTAGTGCCAATTTAAGAAAATTTTAATATAATCAACAATATTCATTTTAACAAACATTGCTAAACCCGATATATAATATAGCTAAACACCAACCAAATGCCGAAATTCTATCGGGCTAGAAATTAGTCTAGTTTAAGGCTAATTACTAAATGAATATTTTAATTCATTTTAACATTCTCTTACATATGAATGAATTTCATTTATTTTTCATAGAATGGGACATTTTGATGATGGAAATCTATGTTTATATGAGTATGTAGATGGTGCCTAATGCCTCCCTCTAGTGCCAAATTTATTTGTAATTCATAATTAATATTTCCAAATTACAACCTGATTATTTACGCCAATCATAGGTGTCTATTTGATAAGCATCAGGTTTCGATAGATGTTTATATCTGAAATCTATGTTTAAATATAACATGCAGCAGAATGTTTATGATAAAGTGCAAGTCAAAATATCCAGGATGTGTAGCTAATTAATTTAAAATAGTTATCTTTATATTATTCTGTTTGTTTTTTACTGTTTTAATGATAAATTATGTTGAAAATCCAACATAATTTATCATTAAATTATCATTATTATTATTCATATTTTAATTGTTTAACAAAGTTAAACAATTTCAAGTCTATAGACTCATCTTCAGAGAAAACACAGAAAAATAATTTTAATTAGGTTATTAGTTAAATTATACTAATTACAGTCACATTCCTTTGTAATTAATTTTATATTGACACTCTGTTGGATGCTCCCTAATAAATGAGTATGTAGACTGGGAAATGATTGGGATTTAAATGAGACAAAAAAACTGACATTTTAATGCTTTAATTTGCTTAGTTGCTCCAATACACAGTTTTTATTTATTTATTTTCTAAGAATGAAGCAGTCTTTTGTCTCTATTAGTTTATATAGACTAAAATAACTTGCAACTTACAATATAAAGCTAGTATTGCTAGCTCATTATTTGCAAATAAGCAAAATCCAGCTCTAATATCAAGCAAGACTTTCTAGATCAGTGGTTCCCAAAGTGGTTGCTACTGCCCCCCTGTGGGCAATGAGTAAATCTAGGGAATAAAAAAAAAAACAAGTGGGTGGCAGGGAGCACTGGAGACAGGATACTGAGCAGTAACTAAAGTATTAAGTTCATTGACAACCTTTCTTTTGTTGGATAAGAAGAAACATTGCATTTAATGGCTTTGAGTGGATAACAACTTATGGTAAAGATACAAACCATGAGATTTGCAGAAATGTTTTTCTAGAAATATGTCCAAGCATTTCTCACACAAGGAAAATGGTTAGGAGGCATTGGAGTATGGTTGGGGAGCATTGCATATAAGTTTATGGAACTAAGGGATGGTGGCTCAAAAAAGTTTGGGTATCACTAGATAATGAAGATCCAAAGCTTCCATCTCTTTAAAACATATCATACAAAAGATTGAGCTTTTGTATGATATTTTTTAAAGAAATTTCAGGAACATTATTTTCCTCAATCACAAAACTACAGACTACAATGCCAACAGGAAATATTCTTGGAGATAATCAGATGGCCAAGTGGTTAGGGTGCCAGTCCACCACTCTGAGTACCCCGAAACAAATCCGGATGGGTCAAAAATATCTTCAGGAAATTTCTAGAGGTTGTATGGATATGTTGGAACCTGTCCCTCGCCACCCAGTTGACCAGTTGTCCCACATCACCCATTGTGAGCCTGGCCAAATACATAATGGGCTTGCTAAGAAAAAAAGCCCTCTTAATGACCACAAGGTGGAAAGAGTTAAAAAAGGTCATACCCTCAAAAAACCCCATTAACAATTCCTTCAACTGTAATAAATGTAAATATGTACATCCAAAGTGAGATTTGAACCTTTAACAAATTAAAAGTAATGTTTTCTTCGGGTTAATAAATTATTTTAAATTTTCTCTTAATTAAAACTCCGATTAATGTTTATCTTAGAACAAAACAAGTAAAATAAAAAAAATCTTTATTCTTGATAAAAATTAGGCAAGGCTTGAACAATACTGTACATGTTTACATCTTGGCAAGTGTCAGATGTTTGATGCCACTTATCCAGAATGTAAGTAACTTGATCCATTCAGTAACATATACAACAACCCAATTAACTTGTAATGTCAATCTGCCATATTATTTATCAGGCTATTTTAAGGCTAATGTAATAATTACATTTAAAGCAATTTGGTAGAGTAACTGGTAATGCAGTTGCACTGTAAGCAGGAGTTGTAGGTTTGAGTCCTGCTTCAGGGTTAATGTTTACAGTACTTCTGAAATATTCTAAATTTAAATTAAAAATTAATTTAGTTCTAATTATTAAATCTATCATTATAAGGTACCTCTAGCCAAACTACTTTATATGTATTACATTAGATCATGGTCCCCGACCCTATGCCTATGGGCACTATAGCGCCCACCGCTGTGCAACACGATAAAAATATTTCAGTTTTCAATAAAATGCTATGTAAAAGTTTTCTCATTTTTAGTGATTAACCACACAAAAGTAGAAATGGCATCCAACACAGATAAAAGCACAAAGCGAAATGCAACTGATCTCTTTTTCCCCTTGCGCCAAATCTTTGCCAACCTAATTTCCCATACCTAAAATGAAATGAACCATCTGTTTCTATGGTTGTCGTGATGACAACAAAGACATTTGTCTCGTGAGAGACAGACAGTACTGTGGTTTGTGCTGTGAGATAAACATTCATTCAACGTATCTACTTCATTATTTATTCATAATTATATGCTCATATTTTTTGTATACTTTGTTGTTTTTAAATACTTCCTTATTTTTACCCCAAAATGAGTAGATCAAGTAAAAGACAACGGACCTATAATTTTAATACTGAATGGGAACATATTGCTTCGTCAATTTAAAAGACAAATGTTATTTGTTTGGTGTGTGGAAAAAGCGTCGCAGTGTCGAAAAAACATAATGTTGAATGTCATTTCCTGACAATTCATGCTACTTTTAAATAGAACTATCCACTTAAATCTGAAATGAGAAAGAAAATAGATCAGCTAAAATCAAATCTGTCCATTCAATAGTCAGTTTTCACTAGGCCTGTGTTAAGATCTAAAAATGCCACTATTGCTTATTCTTTAAAAATTTCTCACATACTCGCAAAAAAGAAAAAGCCTTTCCAAGATGGTGAGTTGTTAAAAGAAGCATTTCTTACTGGTGCCGATTGCTTATTTGAGGGATTTTCCAACAAACATGAGATCATGTCAGCAATACAAGACTTACAGTTGACAGATACAAGAAGAATACAAGCCATTTCAAAGGACATGCAAACTCAGTTAAAGAGTAACTTGGAAATATGTGAGTGGTTCTCACTACAATCTGACAAAGCTACAGACATATCAGACAGAGCACAGTTAGCAGTTATGATGAGAATGGTATTTAGTGACTTTACTATAAAAAGAAGATCTACAACCCATGAAAAGATGAACAACAGTTGAGGATATCTATAAAATATTTATAACATATGCAAAGTCAATAGATATGCCTCTCCAGAAGCTGTCTACAATAACCACTGACAGGGCACCAGCAATGGTTGGTAATGTCAATGGATTTATTGCCCTCTGCATAAAAGATGAATAATTTCCAAACTTTATGTCATATCACTGTATTATACACCAGGAAGTTTTGTGTGGTAAAATACTACCCTTCGGACATGTCATGAAAATAATTACAAAAATAGTCAACTTAATTCGTGCAGCTCCTTTGCAACACCACCTTTTCAAGGCCCTATTAGAAAATCCTGAAGATCCTGATCTCATTCTACATACTCAAGTATGTTGGCTCAGTAAAGGCAAAGTTCTTGCTAGATTTGTAAATTTAATTGAAAAAATAAAAAATTATCTCAATGCCAAAAATCAAATTTTTTTGAATTTTTTGTAATGAAAATTGCATCATTCAAAGAAATTACTATATAGCTCTTTATGGGTAGGAATATCATTGAAAATTAATGAAAACGATAAAACTAAGAAATGCTAAAAATAAAAAAATATATTTAATTATAGGATAAAAATATTTACATTTGTTAAATTTTAATAACAGCATCAGCCGAATGAAGAGTTTAAAATAAAAATATTGTTTTTTACTAGAAGAATATAAAATGAAATCAGTAAGGAGTAGAGCCAAACACACTTCAATCTAAAGAGGAAGATCAACTACTCAAACCCAACAATAAATTACTAAGTCTGATCTGTTAAGGCAATAAAAAACCTAAAATAAAAATGACAGAAATCACTCAAAAAAAGATGTGCCCATACGAATACATCTGTCAGAACAGAGCAGCGTAGTTACAGATAAATCGTAGCAGCGTCTCTTCTATTGCTTCTAACTAAATTAGCAATAAAATAATAGTAGAGTAACAAGTACATGAAGATCTAAAGATGAAGCCCGTGCTTTAAAAGGTAATATTATTATAAATGACTGTGTTTTAACAATGTATAGCTTATATAACCTTTATGATGAACTCTGTTAATTAACAGTGCAAGAGTATGGAAAATAAATTAACTCTTTAAATAACACTTTAAAATTTCTTTAATTTTTTTAAAGCAGTAAAATTTTATGTGTTTTCAGGAATTTTCAGTCTGTTTTTCTAGAATTTTAAGCTATTTTTGTATCAGAAATTTGATTTTCAAGTTTTTAATACCTTTTTGTTCATATTTTATGCTGCAATGGTACAAATATTTCAATTAAAACTTATTTTAGTTGGAATTTTTGTTAAAAATCTGAAAAACATCAATAAGTTATCATCAGTAACATATAAATAAAGAAAATAAATATTTTAATAAGTACTGTAAATACATGCCAAGTTTCCATGTTATCAAGTTAATAAAGGAAACATTTTAAAGTCAAATATTTGAATTATTTTAACGTTAAACATAATACTTACCGAATAGCAAGCATGTTAAATATATAAAAAACACTTTCTTCATTATTGAAAGTATTCAAAAAAACATTCACAGAAACTGAACAAACGTTAAAACAATACAGCAGTCGTCATAACTTGTTGTGATAGGTGGTTCCGGTTATCAACGCCAGGTGGCGCGGCTATAATTATTAGTGGAAACATGGTTCGTTCATTTAGGGTTATTTGTAGCACATTAAATATATTAAAATATTTTTTTTTAATTTTATTTATGTATAAATATTTAGNAGCGGAAATAATTCTTTCATACAAAAAATAAATTTTCTGTGGATTTCTTAGTTGCATTTGAATCGGAACAAGGGTATCAAAGGAGTTAAATCGAGTGGTGGAGCTACAAAGTCAGCTGTGAGAAGAACCTGCAAATGCTTTGCTGAGATGGGATTGACAAAAACAACTCCAAGAACAGACAGAAAACCAAAATTAACTGAGCATGATATGAGCAGAATCTGTTGTCTCTCCCTGCAAGACTGTCACATCAACAAACTCCTGAAGACATCTGGCATGCAAATTGTAAACAGAACCATTAGAAAAAGCTAGGTGACAATGGTCTATGAGCAAAGACAACCAAGAAAGAAGCCATACCCAACAAAAAACAGGATGAAATGCTCTGGCACACAAGGAGTGGACACGAGAAAACTGGGGCAAGATTATTTGGAATGACAAGATAAAAATTTGTATCTCTGGAAATTCATTTGTCACTGAGCCAGTGAAGACATTTTGCCCAAGTGCACTATGGCAACCATTAATTAAGCATCCTGCGAGTGTAATGGTGTGAGCTTGAATGGTCAGACAATGGTATTTGACATCTTGATGGCAAAAAATATCAGTAAGTAGTGTTGAAAACTAAACTGCTGCCCACTAATGGGAATTTCTTTGAAAGTGATGCATCTTTCAGCAGGATGGAACACCATCTCATACAACCAGAAGTTGACTAGTGGTTCAGAGACCAAAATATTACTATCTTGCCTTATCCAGGAAATAGTCCTAGACAAGGCAAGATAGTAATTCCAATAAAAAATGTGTTTCTAGTCCAAAAATGATGGTGTCAGGCCACAATCCCAGTAACAAAACAGAGTTGAGAGAAGCCATCATCCAAACTTGGTTCAGGATGATCATGCAAGATCTCAGACATATGGTGGATTAAGTGCCTCAAAGAATTGAAGCAGTGATAAAAGGGAAAGGTTATCCAACAAAATATTAAAAATAAACTATTTTACTTCCCAGTATGTATTTCAAATAAAATCTTATGGATAAAGCATTTTTGTAATATTGTTGTTTTACTAAATGATTTTACTAAAGTTTTCCAAATTTATAGTGTCAAATTCAACAGAAAACATTCTAATACATCATCCTTTCATTAGAATATTAAACACTGTGTGAAATTCATGAGTATAATGATAATTGAACAAATCTACTAACAGTGTCCAGAATTAATGCCATTATTGTATACATACAATTATAGATACATTTTTGATTTAAATAAAATTTCATTTTAAATGAAATAACCCAGTGTTATGCACATATAATTTTGCTTATGAATATACAGTGGTGCCTCGTACAACATACTTAATCCGTTCCAGGTGCACGTTCGTTAAGTGAAACGTCCGTTATACAAAACGCATTTTCCCATAGAAATACATGTTAAAACATATAATTTGTTCCGCAGCATAAAATAACCGTAGTGTACCATAAAAAATGAAAATGGAGCAGACACCAATTATGCCGGGTAGTCAGATGTTGTGAGGAGGGGGTGGAAGAACACTTTCTTTACACATTCATACAGATACAGACTTTTTACACATTGCAGCGGATCTTTTTTTTT